CATTTTGATGATATCAGTACTCAGAAAAGTTACATTTTTATATCATTACACAGAAAAGTTACATTTTGATATTATTACACAGAAAAGTTACATTTTGATATCAGTACTCAGAAAAATTACATTTTGATATCAATACACAGAAAAGTTACATTTTGATATCAATACTCAGGAAAGTTACATTTTGATATCAGTACACTGAAAAGTTACATTTTGATATCAGTACTCAGAATAGTTACATTTTGATATCAGTACACAGAAAAGTTACATTTTTATATCAGTACACAGAAAAGTTAAATTTTGATATCAGAACACAGAAAAGTTACATTTTGATACCAGTACACAGAAAAGTTACAGTTTGATATCAGAACACAGAAAAGTTACATTTTTACATCAGTACACAGAAAAGTTACATTTTGATATCAGTACACAGAAAAGTTACATTTTGATATCAGTACACAGAAAAGTTACATTTTGATATCAGTACACAGAAAGTTAAATTTTGATATCAGTACACAGAAAAGTTATTTTGATATCAAAAGAAAATATATTTTGATATCAGTACTCAGAAAAGTTAAATTTTGATATCAGTACACAGAAAAGTTACATTATTACACAGAAAAGAAAATAGTACTCAGAAAAGTTACATTTTAATATCCGTACACAGGAAAATTACATTTGACATCAGTATTCAGCAAAAAAATATATTTTGATATCAGTACTCAGAAAAGTTACATTTTTTATCAGTACACAGAAAAGTTACATTTTGATATGTGTTGACAGAAAATTTACAATGTTATATCTGTACACAGAAAAGTTACATTTTGATATCAATACTGAGAAAACTTACATTATGATATCAGTAATTAAAAAAGTTACATTTTGATATCAGTACTCAGAAAACATTTTTATATCTGCTCACAGAAAAGTTACATTTTGATATCAGTACACTGAAAAGTTACATTTTGATATCAGTACACAGAAAAGTTACATTTTGATATCAGTACACTGAAAAGTTACATACACAGTACACAGAAAAGTTACATTTTTATCAGTACACAGAAAAGTTACATTTTGATATCAGTACACAGAAAAGTTACAATTTTGATATCAGTACACAGAAAAGAAAAGTTACATTTTGATATTAGTTAATAAAAAACTTACATTTTGATATCAGTACACAAGAAAAGTTACATTCTGATATCAATATTCAGAAAAGTTACATTTTGATGATGGTACTCAGAAATGTTACATTTTGATATATGCTCACAGAAAAGTTACATTTTGATATCAGTACACTGAAATGTTACATTTTGATATCAGTACACAGAAAAGTTACAGTTTGATATCAGAACACAGAAAAGTTACATTTTGACATCAGTACACAGAAAAGTACACAGAAAAGTTACATTTTGATATCAGTACACTGAAAAGTTACATTTTGATACCAGTACACAGAAAAGTTACAGTTTGATATCAGAACACAGAAAAGTTACATTTTTACATCAGTACACAGAAAAGTTACATTTTGATATCAGTACACTGAAAAGTTACATTTTGATACCAGTACACAGAAAAGTTACATTTTGATATCAGTACTCAGAAAAGTTAAATTTTGATATCAGTACACAGAAAAGTTACATTTTGATATCAGTACCCACACAAGTTGGATTTCGATATCAGTACTAAGAAAAGTTACATTTTGATATCAGTACACAGAAAAGTTACATTTTGATATCAATAAACAGAAAAGTTACATTTTGATATCAATATTCAAAAAAGTTACATTTTGATATCAATACTCAGAAAAGTTACATTTTGATATCAATACACAGAAAAGTTACATTTTGATGATGGTACTCAGAAATGTTACATTTTTATATCTGTTCGCAGAAAATTTACATTTTGATATCAGTACACAGAGAAGTTACATTTTGATATCAATACACAGAAAAGTTACATTTTGATACACAGAAAAGTACACTGAAAAGTTACATTTTGATATCAGTGCACTGAAAAGTTACATTTTGATATTAGTACACAGAAACGTTACATTGTAATATCAATACACAGAAATGCTATATTTTGATATCAATACACTGAAAAGTTACATTTTGATATCAGTGCAGAGAAAAGTTACATTTTTATATCAGTACACAGGAAAATTACATTTTGATATCAGTACACAGAAAAGTTACATTTTGATATCAGTACACAGAAAAAATTTTTACATTTTGATAGATATCAGTACACAGAAAAGTTACATTTTGATATCATTATGATATTATACAATGTAACCCCTCCCCAGAAAAGTTACATTAATATATCAGTTGATATACCATTCTGATGACCACAGAAAAGTTACATTTTATATCAGATAATCACGTAGATACCGTCACAGAAAAGTTACATTTTATATCAGTACACAGAAAAGTATTACATTTTAATTGTACTCAGAAAAGTTACCCCATCTCCCTAATATATCAGATAAATGTCCCCTAGATACCATTCTTATGACAGATATCAACGTACCCCGACCCCCTAATATATCAGATAATTTTCCCTATCTACCATTCTGATGATCGCTATAAATGTAATCCCACCTCTAATATATCAGATAATTGTCCCCTAGATACCATTCTGATGGCCGTCATCAATGTAACCCTTTCCCAATCCACAATATATCAGAAAATTGTCCCCTAAATACCATTCTGATGACCGCTATCAATATACCCCCATCCCCTAATATATCAGATAATTGTCCCCTAGATACCATTCTGATGACCGCTATCAATATACCCCCATCCCCCTAATATATCAGATAATTGTCCCCTAGATACCATTCTGATGACCGCTATCGATGTGTCCCCTATTTCCCGAATATATCAGATAATTGTCACGTAGATACCGTCCTGATGAACGCTATAAATGTACCCCGACACCCTGATATATCAGATAATTGACCCCTAGATATCATTCTGAAGGCCGCCGTCAATGTATTCCCCCAATCCCCCTCCTATATCAGTTAATTGTCCCCTAGATACCATTCTAGTGACCGCTATAAATGTAATCCCCAACCCCCTTCTGATATATCAGATCATTGACCCTCCGTCAATCTAATGTATCAGAAAATTGTTTCCTATATACCAGTCTGTTGACCGCTACAAATGTACCCCATTCCCCCAATATATCAGATAATTGTCCCCTAAATACCATTAAGATGGCCACCATTAATATACCCCCATCTCCCTAATATATCAGATAATTGTCCCCTAGATACCATTCTGATGACAGATATAAACGTACCCCGACCCCCTGATATATCCGATAATTGTCCCCCAGATACCATTGCGATGACTGCCATCAATGTACCCCCATATCCCTTATATATCAGATAATTGTCCCCTAGATACCATTAAGATGGCCACCATTAATGTACCCTCATCTCCCTAATGTATCAGATAATTGTCCCCTAGATACCATTCTGATGACAGATATCAACGTACCCCGACCCCCTAATATATCAGATAATTGTTCCCTAGATACCATTCTGATGGTCGCTATAAATGTACCCCCACCCCTTAATATATCAGAAAATTGTCCCCTAAATACCATTCTAATGACCGCTATCAATGTACCCCCCCCCCTTATATATAAGATAATAGTCCAGTAGATACCATTCTGAAGACCGCTATCAATATACCCCTATCCCCTTAATATATCAGATAATTGTCCCCTTGATACCGTATGTATCCCCTATCTCCCAAATATATAAGATAATTGTCACGTAGATACCATCCTGATGACCGCTATAAATTTATTCCCAGTACCTGATGAATCAGATAATTGTCCCCTAGATACCATTCTGTTGGCCGCCATCAATGTATTCCACCCAATCCCCCACATATATCAGATAATTGTCCCCTAAATACCATTAAGATTTCCACCATTAATGTACCCCCATCTCCCTAATATATCAGATAAATGTCCCCTAGATACCATTCTTATGACAGATATAAACGTACCCCGACCCCCTTATATATCAGATAATTGTCCCCTAAATACCATTAAGATTTCCACCATTAATGTACCCCCATCTCCCTAATATATAAGATAATTGTCCCCTAGATACCATTCTTATGACAGCTATAAACGTACCCCGACCCCCTAATATATCAGATAATTGTTCCCGAGATACCATTCTGATGACCGCCATAAATGTACCCCCTCCCCATCCAATAATATATCAGATAATTATAACCTAGATACCATTCTGATGACCGGAATAAATGTATCCCCCTTCTCCCGAATATATCAGATAATTGTCCGTTATATACCATTCTGATGACCGCTGTAGATGTACCCCAATATCCCTAATATATCATATAATTGTCCCCTAGAAACCATTCTGATGGCCGCCATCAATGTATCCCCCCTAATCCCGCTCATATATCATATAATTGTCCCCTAGAAACCATTCTGATGGCCGCCATCAATGTATCCCCCCTAATCCCGCTCATATATCATATAATTGTCCCCTAGATACCATTCTGATGGCCGCCATCAATGTATCCCCCCTAATCCCGCTCATATATCATATAATTGTCCCCTAGATACCATTCTGATGGCCGCCATCAATGTATCCCCCCTAATCCCGCTCATATATCAGATAATTGTCCCCTAGATACTATTCTGATGACAGCTATAAATTTTACCCCCCACCCCTATATATAACCGATAAGTCCTTCCCCACAGCTGCATTTCAAATACACTTATATGTGTATGCCTATGAACGGTTAGCTTATAATAGTAATAATAATAGATAAAGAAATAGATGAAATAGATAATACGCAGGTTTGTTTTGTTTTGTTTTTTTAATTTTAACTGTGAACAAACCCTGTAATGAGTGATGTTTACTAGATGTTCTTTAACGCCACTGGGCTGCCATATGAGAAGCTGTATAAATAAACGCCGCATTCCTTATATCCGCAGTCTCACTGCTACATTAGCTACAGGGACGGCCAGCATTGTACATACTCTGATCATACGAGTGTGAGAACGATTTTAAAAAATAAAACTCAGTCATGGCGGATAAGTTTCTTGCAAAATGGAGAGCCGATAGAACAACTTACACTGATTTCGAGGCCACCATGGATGCTATGAGTAAGTATTGGACAATATCTGTCATTGTTTCATGATCGCAAGTTGTCGTGTGATAAGTAATACAATGTACGTACAAAGTGTATAGTATGAAGAGTGTAATTGACAAGAGACTTTCATCAGAATTTGCATGTGTATGATTGATATGAGTATCACTGCAGCAGCTAAACTCACTGAGGTCAGCCTGGTCTGTCACAACGGGATTGTAATTCTAATGCTATTCGTCATTATGAAATTAGGAAATGAACAAGAGGCACAACGGGCCTGCGTTGCTCACCTGGTATTTGATAATTTATTTTCCTTTAGAAAGATTGTAAAAAAAAACATAAGTTAATAGCACCTTTAAATACAAATTTGATTATGATACAGTAGAGCCAAAATTAATTAAACTGTATCATGCAGCTGGTTCGTCCTTCAAGGACTCATCAATGATGCTAAAGGCCTAAATTGTACACCTAGGATGAAGAAAATAAAAAGATAAATGAAATAAATGTCAAAATATAGATGGAAAGGTGCACGATTACTCAATACATTTCGTGAATTTCATTACTCTGATAATTTTACGTCAGGTACATGTATTTATTCTAAGCATGCCACTTTTTGAATGAATTAAAACGTGGTTTTCACGTTACGGTAAACCTCGGGGACAAAAACATTATCTGGTAACACCGAGAAAGTCCTTGGTTCTGACATTCAGTGTCTATCTCAAATCAACCTACTTGGAAGCTGACCTATTTGATTATTTACACTGCAAGGCTAAGATTCGTTGTCTGGAAAAGAGTGTTGAAAACAAATTTTGTAACCCTGGAAACGAGTCCAAAGTTTTCATTACCAAGGTTTGTCGGACTTACCTACCGTCTAGATATCATGACTCTAAGCCATTGGTAAATAAGAGTTTGTTTGTAGGCTTCAAAAATCTTGTGACCTTTGATCAGGGTCATTTCTTTCCGCAAAATTCGTTGGGATTCATTTCAGGAATCTTCAAGCCAAGCATCTGTGAGTTTAGGTCCGTTTGTCAAGCAGAGCAAGGTATTAATCATTTTCACCCTTGAAACATTGAATATGGGTCACGGTCGATTGTTTATCCTTAACATTGAAACTTTTGGCAAAATAACCTCATTCAAGGCCTTCAGGACTAGGTCCACACGTATCCAGTTATCCATGGACCTGTAGAATGTACCTAACCAGCGTCTATCTTGGAAGGTACATATACCCAGTGTCCCAGGGCGATTCAATACGTAGTGTCACGTAGGAGAGAGGAAGATACTCAGTGTACCCGGAATGAGGTACAGATATCCAGGGTTCCCGGAGTAAGGTACAGATATCCAGTGTTCTCGGAATGATGTACAGATATCCAGTGTTCCCGGAATGAGGTACAGATATCCAGTGTTCCCGGAATGAGCTACAGATATCCAATATTCCCGGAATGAGGTACAGATACCTAGTGTTCACGTATTGAGGTACAGATACTAAGTGTTCCGGGAGTGAGGTAGAGATATCCAGTGTTCCCGAAGTGAGGTACAGATATCCAGTGTTCCCAGAATGAGGTACAGATACTCAGTGTTCCGGAAATGAGGTACAGATACCCAGTGTTCCCGGAGTGAGGTACAGACACCCAGTGTTCCCGAAGTGAGGTACATATATCCAGTGTTCCCGGAATGAGGTACAGATACTCAGTGTTCCGGAAGTGAGGTAGAGATATCCTGTGTTCCCGAAGTGAGGTACAGATATCCAGTGTTCCCGGAGTGAGGTACAGATACCCAGTGTTCCCAGAGTGACATACAGATATCCAGTTTTCCCGGAGTGAGGTACAGATACACAGTGTTCCAGGAGTAAGGTAGAGATATCAAGTGTTCCCGGAGTGAGGTACATATACTCAGTGTTCCCGTAGTGAGGTAGAGATACCTGGTGTTCCCAGAGTGAGGTACATATACCCAGTGTTCCCGGAATGAGGTACAGATACCTGGTGTTCCCAGAGTTAGGTACAGATACCCAGTGTTCCAGAAGTGAGATACAGAAACCCAGTGTTCCCGGAATGAGGTACAGATACCCGGTGTTCCCGCAGTGAGGCACAGATACCAAGTGTTCCCGGAGTGAGGTACAGATAACCAGTGTTCTCATAGTGAGGTATATGGACCCAGTGTTCCAGGAGTAAGGTAGAGATATCAAGTGTTCCCGGAGTGAGGTACAGATATCCAGTGTTCCCGGAGTGAGGAACAGAAACCCAGTATTCCAGGTGTAAGGTACAGATACTCAGTGTTCCCGGAATGAGGTACAGATACTCAGTGTTCCTGAAGTGAGGTACAGATAACTGGTGTTCCCAGAGTTAGGTACAGATACCCAGTGTTCCAGGAGTGAGAAACAGAAACCCAGTGTTCCCGGAATGAGGAACAGATACCCAGTGTTCCCGTAGTGAGGTACATATACCCGGTGTTCCCGCGGTGAGGCACAGATACCAAGTGTTCACGGAGTGAGGTACAGATAACCAGTGTTCTCATGGTTTAGTATATATACCCAGTGTTCCAGAAGTAAGGTACAGATATCCAGTGTTCCCGTAGTGAGGTACAGATACCCAGTGATCCCAGAGTGAGGTAGAGATATCTAGTGTTCCCGGAGTGAGGTACAGATACCCAGTGTTGTCATGTTGAGGTACAGATACCCAGTATTCCCGGAGTGAGATACAGATACCCAGTATTCCAGGTGTAAGGTACAGATATTCAATGTTCCCGAAATGAGGTACAGATATCCAGTGTTCCCAGAATGAGAATGAGGTACAGATATCAGTGTTCCGTGAGGTACAGAGTGAGGTACAGATACCCAGTGTTCAGTGTTCCCAGTGAGGATACAGATATTCAGTGTTCCCGAAATGAGGTACAGATATCCAGTGTTCCCAGAATGAGAAACAGATACCCAGTGTTTCCTGAGTGAAGTACAGATGTCTAGTGTTCCAGAAGTAAGGTACAGATACCCAGTGTTCCCGGAGTGAGGTACAGATACCAGTGTTCCCGGAATGAGGTACAGGTATCCATCCAGTGTACAGATATCCAGTGTTCCCGGAGTGAGGTACAGATATCTAGTGTTCCCGGAGTGAGGTACAGATACCCAGTCATCCCGATGTAAGGTACAGATATTCAGTGTTTCCGAAATGAGGTACAGATACCCAGTGTTCCTGGAGTGAGGTATATATACCCAGTGTTCCCGGAGTGAGGTACAGATATCCAGTGTTCCCGGAGTGAGGTACAGATACCCAGTATTCCCGGTGTAAGGTACAGATTCTCAGTGTTCCCGGAATGAGGTACAGATACCCTGTGTTCCCGAAATGAGGTACAGATATCCAGTGTTCCCGGAGTGAGGTACAGATACCCGGTGTTTCCGCAATGAGGCACAGAAACCCATTGTTCCCGGAGTGAGGCACAGATACCCAGTGTTCTCATGATGAGTTATCTATACCCAGTGTTTCAGAAGTAAGGTACAGATATCCAGTGTTCCCGGAGTGAGGTATAGATACCCAGTGTTCCCGGAGTGAGGTACAGATACCCAGTGTTCCCGGAGTGAGGTACAGATATCCAGTGTTCCCGGAGTGAGGTACAGATACCCAGTGTTCCCGGAGTGAGGTACAGATATCCAGTGTTCCCGGAGTGAGGTATAGATACCCAGTATTCCCGGTACAGATACCCAGTGTTCCAGGAATGAGGTACAGATACCCAGTGTTCCAGGAACGAGTTACAGATATCTAGTGTTCCCGGAATGAGGTACTTATATCCAGTGTTCCCGGAATGAGGTTCAGATACCCAGTGTTCCCGGAATGAGGTACAAATAACCAGTGATCCCGGAATGAGATACAGATACCCAGTGTTCCCGAGATACAGATACCCAGTATTCCCGGAGTGAGGTACAGATACCCAGTAATCCCGATGTAAGGTACAGATATTCAGTGTTTCCGAAATGAGGTACAGATACCCAGTGTTCCTGGAGTGAGGTACAGATATCAGTGTTCCCGGAATGAGGTACAGGTATCCAGTGTTCCAGGAGTGAGGTACAGATATCCAGTGTTCCAGGAATGAGGTACAGATATCCAGTGGTCCCGGAGTGAGGTACAGATACCCAGTATTCCCGGTGTAAGGTACAGATTCTCAGTGTTCCCTGAATGAGGAACAGATACCCAGTGTTCCCGAAATGAGGTACAGATATCCAGTGTTCCAGGAGTGAGGTAAAGATATCCAGTGATCAGGAATGAGGTACAGATACTCAGTGTTCCCGAAATGAGGTACAGATACCCAGTGTTCCAGGAACGAGGTAGAGGTATCTAATGTTCCCGGAATGAGGTACAGATATCCAGTGTTCCCGGAATGAGGTACAGATACCCAGTGATCCCGGAATGAGGAACAGATACCCAATGTTCCCGAAATGAGGTAAAGATATCCAGTGTTCCCAGAGTGAGGTAGAGATACCTACTGTTCCCAGAGTGAGGTAGAGATATACAGTGTTCCCGGAGTGAGGTACAGATACTTAGTGTTCCCGGAATGAGGTACAGATACCCAGTGTTACCGAAATGAGGTACATATATCCAGTGTTCCCAGAATGAGGTACAGATATCCAGTGTTCCCGGAATGAGGTACAGATATCCAGTGTTCCCGAATTGAGTTACAGATACCCAGTGTTCCCGGAGTGAGGTACAGAAACGCAGTGTTTACGTGGTGAGGTACAGGTACCCAGTGTTCCCGGAGTGAGGTAGAGATACCTAGTGTTCTTAGAGCAAGGTACATATACCCAGTGTTATCATGGTGATGTACAGATACCCAGTGTTCCCGGAGTGAGGTACAGATACCCAGTGTTTACGTGGTGATGTACAGGTACCCAGTGTTTCCGGAGTGAGGTAGAGATACCCAGTGTTTACGTGGTGAGGTACAGGTACCCAGTGTTTCCGGAGTGAGGTAGAGATACCCAATAGCTCGGGATGAGGAACAGACATCTATATTCCACAATGGTGTGCTTAATTTTCGTGACCGTCAATATTAAGGACGGTTACACTGGAATGTACATCATCATAATTCTTTGTGCCTCTTTTCACTGTCCATCAGAATTAAAACCTTGAGCTAAATCAAGGATTTGACTACTCTCGATTCCGCCATTAATTGGTCTATGACCTCATTTGATGATATGACGCCACCAATATCATATCGCTGTTTTCCTTCAAATCTTCCATACATGTGAAAGACAATGACTCATTGTAAACTCTCGAATGAGGCCAGTAGGCAATACTTGGTTTTTCCGATATTGGGTTTTTTTCAGCATTGCCTTATGTTCATGTTTGGCGTTCATCCAAAACAACATCGACTAAGTGGATGAAATATAATATCCATGGTCTGTTAATGTCCGGAACTCTGATAGACCCACTTAATTGCTAAAAACGCCACTACAAATTACCAGTGGGAATGAGAGATGTGAGGGGCGTATTTAAACTAATGGATTATGGTTTATATCAATATCAATTATCGTCCTGTCGCTCATATAAAGATAGCAAATGTGATGTCAAAGAGAGGCTCGCACACAATTTTGTGGTCTCTTGATATAACACTTATCTATTTTTTTTTTTTTTTATGTTTAGCCGATCTGCACATTATCTTTTTTAGCACATAAAACACCACATACTTAATCAACACCTTTGATTTCCGCGTAGTGGTTATGTACGAGAGCTGATTGATAAATTGTGAGCCCTATGTTTCAGGGTTTGACTTTCGGCGGACATATTCCATTATTTTTTAAGTATTTACACACTTTTGCCGGCGATGTTTAAGGGTTTTAATGCTACCTTTAAAGAAGTTCTTTTCTTGACCGTTCAGAAAGTCCTCCGCTGCATGTATGACGTCATCATCTGACCGAAAGTGGGTACCGGAAATGCGATTTTGTCCATTTTGCAGAAGTCGCTTATCGTATTTACTTTATTGTGCTACGTCTTTGACATTAACTTACCAGATGACACCAGTCTTCGGGTATACAGTTTTAAACAGTTAGGGAATAGAAGAGCTGAAAAGCTGGTTAACTTGATACAAGGCTCACAACTTCTCAATCAACCCGGGTATGAGCATCCAGTTTAATGTACTTAAGAAACCAGGCCATTCTTAAAAAAAAACTTTTCTTTTCTCTTTCATTTTAACTTCTACCAATTCCTCTCGTCACTGTTTTGGCAAATATACATTAAATCGACAAAATACACGAATATCTATTATAATAAATAAACTGTTAATAACTCCATTTATTTTACTTTCTTCGGGTGTTAACACGTATAAATAGTGCTGGCAGTACAAATCGTATTTAGTAAAACTGCCATCAGATAAACTTGTGATACTCTTTCTAAAAACTCTGTGAAATTGCACCATAGATTATAACTTCAAAATTCTTCAACTATCTATATATGCAGTGTTAACGGAAAAGAAGGTGTAATGAAATATATTTTTGTGGTTTTGTCCAATAGTGTTGATGTTGCTGGGTTAATGTAGTGATGACACTGAAATCCAATTTCTGGTCTTCAAGCTTACTGTTCATATATGTTTACAAAGTATATACATCCAGGTATATACAAATTACAATTTACCATACTTCAGGCAAATGATGGAGAGAGCGGGCGTCCCGACAGTGGAGCCTCTCTCCTGTGTGGCCTCCTCTCTTCTATTAGATCAAGAGAGGTCAATTTATACCAAACCCATATGTTAAATATGCCTACCTAATACTATGTTTATCAGATGACTTACGTATTGGTTTTCATTGACCTTACTTGACCAATATACACGTACTTAAAATTTCACCTTCAGATATGATGATGACGTCTTGTCTTTTACTAACATGGAATGGAAACGAATATAAAATGCTGGTATATTATTAATTATATACTGGTTTATGAACCCAGACCTAGTCTCTGATGAAACATGCTCAAAATCTCAAGTATTGGTTGTAGTTCTTCTTCTTTCTCTTTTTTCTTTTCGATTTCATTGAAAACAATATCCACTCATTTTATTTCTGAGTTTATCACAAACTGTTGTGGTCTGTATTGTTCTAGTGTGTCGCCTTTTTTAGTCTTCCCTATATGTAAAGTACTCGAAACTGGCCGAAAGCACGACATCGTGCGGTTTTGTTTAATTCCTAGGAAGACGGCATGGAATTCAGTGTAGATATCATTCTACATGTTTACTAGTGAAACTCGATTTTGTTATTCGCAATTATTGGTGTTTTCAAATCACGATTAGTGGTCCCGTAGTGTTAATGTCAGTAACTCGCAAAAATCAGTAGTTGTAATATCTGTTGATATTTCGAGATTTTGCGACAACAATTGATAAAAAATGTTTAATGATCTGAACATTGTTCAGTTTTTCCATATTTGAAAAAGGACGAAAAACGATGAAAAAATTCCGACGAGAATTCAATGGTCACGACCATGTATTGTACGTACATGTACAGTATATCCCTCTCGCTGATGTAAGAAAATCAACATGATTATGATATCATTCAAAATGTTAGATTCAAGAAAAAAAACCAATAAGCTTTAATTTGAAAAGAATTCAGGGGGTATTGATTGAGTAATAAGCAAGTATCGGTCCAGGCTGATGTTGGGAGTCGCCATTGCAGTAATGAACACCAAGCGTTCTAATTGGTCACATGTGAGATATATTATGAATGAAATTTTATGAATGAGAGTAGTAGTTCCAAATTTCTTTTTATATGGTGCTATGACTCGAATCACGTACACGTGGTAGAGGTAACCATAGATATCTAACCTAGATGCCGCACGGCCTATCTGCGACTGTTAACGCAATGTGTCTGCAGCACCGCCATCTTGGGAAGGTATTGCCGCTAGCGCCAAACCATAGCTACAGAGTGGGCCTCATGCTAGAAATCCCACTAAAATGTGTAGCTCGGTCACTAGCCCACGTAGCACCACAGATAATACTTCATTCACAATACGCTTCATCATCTGTTGACCTTGTGAACGTGACATTACTTACTTGGATTGACCGAGGTTAACATGGCAATGAAGCAGAAGACGTTTACTCTTCCAAAAAACCTGGTTTTATTATCTTTATACATTTTCAGGAGTCTTCGTGTAAAGCTTTCTTTTGTTCATGTTTTGCTGTAGTTTCATTAAGTTTGAATTTGTATTATAACTTTGTTGACATGTTTGTATTTTCTTGGTGTTTTTTGACGTCTGTCAAAATTATGGTGGCATCCCTGACAACACCAACAGAGGACATGTTTGTCGACTGTTTTGTATGCTATCGATCAGCCTTTCTGATACCATTTGTGCTCTCCAGGAGGACAAGTGCCATATTAACCAAATTCGCTAAATTAACATCACTGATGTCACAGTATATTGTAGGCAAATCAACATCACTGATGTCACAGTATATTGTAGGCAAATTAACATCACTGATGTCACAGCATATTGCAGGCAAATCAACATCACTGATGTCACAGTATATTGTAGGCAAATCAACATCACTGAAGTCACAGTATATTGTAGGCAAATCAACATCACTGATGTCACAGCATATTATAGGCAAATCAACATCACTGATGTCACAGTATATTGTAGGCAAATCAACATCACTGATGTCACAGCATATTGTAGGCAAATTAACATCACTGATGTCACAGTATATGAACATGTATCTCGAGAACACGACGGTAGTTGAAAGGTGAAAGTACAAAATGTAAACACGACGGTTGGTGACCTTTAATTCCTCCGAGATGTAATCTATGACATTTATAGCCATAAATAAACTAATGTTATCATTATTCAGATGAACAAACATACTGATACAAATAACAAAGCAGAAAAAATACCTCCGCAAGGCCCATTCATGCTATGCTCACTATTATGTGCTTTACTGATATCCTTGTATACTTGAGCATGTAACGAAAAACAGTAAAAACATCTAGGATACATGAACTCCATGAACATTTGGAATACAAACTGTAAAATATATGTCTACAATAATTGTGTTGTTTATGTTTTAGAACTGGACATTCAGACACGTACAGCATTCAAGAAATTGGAGGGAACGCTGGAGTACCAGAAGAATGGGGACATGTGGACAGCAGTGGCCAAAATAGGCGAACTACCTACCAGGATATTTACATACAAACTGGGACAAGAAATAGAGGCACAGGGCCTAGATGGATTTCCTTTAAAGGTTTGTCCAATCCTACAAAAATAGTATAGAATTATTGGTTTTTACTTAAATACAAAAACTTATATCTACATTTGATAAACACAAGTCTTCATAACACATTTAAAATGTACAAATCATTAGAACACAGGAGAGTTCAATGGATACTATACCGGAATCAGTATGTAGTGCTACTGGGGCGTCATTGACAACGACATTACAACAAAATCGTTCTAGGAGCAAATGGTTAAATCAATATTTATTTATTTTATGTAACATGAAAATGCCTTGTTGCATCCGCATATAACTAATGTCAGTATTGAAAAAAAAATCCTGCATTTACAGATGGTGTCAGTAATGAAAAAGTCCTGCATTTACAATCGGTGTCAGTAATGAAAAATTCCTGCATTTACGGTCGGTGTCAGTAATGAAAAAGTCCTGCTTTTACAGCTGGTGTCAGTAATGAAAAAGTCCTGCATTTACAGCCGGTGACAGTAATGAAAAAGTCCTGCTTTTACAGCCGGTGTCAGTAATGAAAAAGTCCTGCATTTACAGCCGGTGTCAGTAATGAAAAAGTCCTGCATTTACAGCCGGTGTCAGTAATGAAAAAATCCTGCATTTACAGCCGGTGTCAGTAATGAAAAAATCCTGCATTTACAGATGGTGTCAGTAATGAAAAAGTCCTGCATTTACAGTCGGTGTCAGTAATGAAAAAGTCCTGCATTTACAGTCGGTGTCAGTAATGAAAAAGTCCTGCTTTTACAGCTGGTATCAGTAATGAAAAAGTCCTGCATTTACAGCCGGTGACAGTAATGAAAAAGTCCTGCATTTACAGCCGGTGTCAGTAATAAAAAAGTCCTGCATTTACAGCCGGTGTCAGTAATGAAAAAATCCTGCATTTACAGCCGGTGTCAGTAATGAAAAAATCCTGCATTTACAACCAGTGTCAGCAATGAAAAGGTCCTGCACTTATAACAAGAGCCAGCATTGTTGTCTGATTGGAAAAAAATGTATGATACTCTTGTACAAGCCTTATTGCCACATGTTGACCATTAGACTCCTTGTAATATGTAAACTATATCTAATGACTAGGCAACAAAAGTGTAAATACACTTGTTTGATTCGATTTAATTTTTCATCAAATTCAATATGTCATCAAATAAGATTCTTTTTTGCAGGCAATTGTGACTGTTATAATGTTACTGCAGAATCTTTCAAAGTGTTTTCCTTTAATTGGTGGTTAATATTAATCCTTGAATCTGTATGTCAACGAAGTTACAAACATTTTACATAAAAAAATACATATATCATAGAACTAGTAAATTTAGCAAGCAAGATTTATCCAGAAATTAATGACAATAAAGATGTGAAATAAATTTTCGATAATTTACATGATGAGAGCACACCAGTAATATTTGTTTTTACAGTAAGTAAAATCTCTAGAAAAATTGAGTTTCTGTTACAAATTTAACGTAAATGAATGATTGAATTGCAGACTGTGTCACGTTTGGAAGGCGACACTTTGATAGAGAATTCCACTTCACTAGAAACCAAGGTCCCCGTCACCATTACTCGTCGTGTGGAAGACAACAAAATGTTTTGTGTACGTGGTAAACTCTTTCTATGTAATATCTATCTTTGTGAAACGTATAAAAAATCTATATATTATTTAAGTTTTCAAGGAACAAATGTTGAATCATAATGTAAGTTCTACTTTTTATGTTGAGAAGGTTTTCAATCTTTTATAGTAGCCAACCACAAACAGATAGTGTATACAGATTGAAGTGTAGGATTATGTATACAGATTGAAGTGTAGGATTATGTATACAGATTGAAGTGTAGGATTATGTATACAGATTGAAGTGTAGGATTATGTACACAGATTGAAGTGTAGGATTATGTATACAGATTGAAGTGTAGGATAATGTATACAGATTGAAGTGTAGGATTATGTACACAGATTGAAGTGTAGGATTATGTATACAGATTGAAGTGTAGGATTATGTATACAGATTGAAGTATAGGATTATGTACACAGATTGAAGTGTAGGATTAGTATACAGATTGAAGTGTAGGATTATGTATACAGATTGAAGTGTAGGATTATGTACACAGATTGAAGTGTAGGATTATGTATACAGATTGAAGTGTAGGATTATGTACACAGATTGAAGTGTAGGATTATGTATACAGATTGAAGTATAGGATTAGTATACAGATTGAAGTGTAGGATCAGTATACAGATTGAAGTGTAGGATTATGTATACAGATTGAAGTGTAGGATTATGTATACTGATTGAAGTGTAGGATTATGTATACAGATTGAAGTGTAGGATTATGTACACAGATTGACGTGTAGGATTATGTATACAGATTGAAGTGTAGGATTATGTACACAGATTGAAGTGTAGGATTAGTATACAGATTGAAGTGTATACAGATGGAGGTATGGCATATTCTTAACTTCGAACTGCAACCTGATTAACATAGTTATGATGTAAATACAACCTTATTAACTTTCCCCCGGATATAGTAATGATGTTAATACAACCTTATTAACTTTCCCCCGGATATAGTGATGATGTAGATACAACCTTATTAACTTTCCCCCGTACATAGTAATGATGTAGATAAAACCTTATTAACTTTCCCCCGGATATAGTAATGATGTTAATACAACCTTATTAACTTACCCCCGGATATGGTGATGATGTAGATACAACCTTATTAACTTTCCCCCGGATATAGTGATGATGTAGATACAACCTTATTAACTTTCCCCCGGATATAGTGATGATGTAAATACAACCTTATTAACTTTCCCTCAGACATAGTTATGATGTAGATACAACCTTAATAACTTTCCCCCGTACATAGTAATGATGTAGATACAACCTTATTAACTTTCCCCCGGATATAGTGATGATGTAGATACAACCTTATTAACTTCCCCCCCCCCCCCGGATATAGTGATGATGTAGATACAACCTTATTAACTTTCCCCGGGATATAGTGATGATGTAGATACAACCTTATTAACTTTCCCTCGGACATAGTTATGATGTAGATACAACCTTATTAACTTTCCCCCGGACATAGTAATGATGTAAATACATCCTTGTTAACTTTCCCCCAAACATAGTAATGATGTAAGTACAACCTTGTTAACTTTCCCCCGGATATAGTGATGATGTAGATACAACCTTATTAACTTTCCCCCGGATATAGTGATGATGTAAATACAACCTTATTAACTTTCCCTCAGACGTAGTTATGATGTAGATACAACCTTAATAACTTTCCCCCGTACATAGTAATGATGTAGATACAACCTTATTAACTTTCCCCCGGATATAGTGATGATGTAGATACAACCTTATTAACTTTCCCCCCGGATATAGTGATGATGTAGATACAACCTTATTAACTTTCCCCGGGATATAGTGATGATGTAGATACAACCTTATTAACTTTCCCTCGGACATAATTATGATGTAGATACAACCTTATTAACTTTCCCCCGGACATAGTAATGATGTAAATACATCCTTGTTAACTTTCCCCCAGACATAGTAATGATGTAAGTACAACCTTGTTAACTTTCCCCCGGATATAGTGATGATGTAAATACAACCTTATTAACTTTCCCCCGGTTATTTTGTAATGATGTAGATACAACCTTATTAACTTCCCCCGGACATAGTAATGATATAGATACAACCTTAGTAACTTTCCTGCGGACATAGTTATGATGTAAATACAACCTTATTAACTTTCCCCGGATATAGTAATGATGTAAATACAACCTTATTAACTTTCCCCTGGATATAGTAATCATGTTAATATATCCTTATTTATTTTTCCGTGGATATAGTAATGATGTAAGTTGAAGCTAATCCAAACCATCTATGTTGGATTCTCCGTTCTGGATATCTCGAAAAGTTTGATGTGCGATTTTCATTATAACTACATCAAAGTAAAATTTGCCTACCTCATACGAACAGAAGATATCTACAAAGACATGTCAGAAGACCGGCATTTATTGGACACCTCACACTATCACAAAACCCATACAGCATGACTAACACAAAGGTAGTAGGAAAAATGAAGGACGAAACTCATGGGATCATATTTAGAAATACTATATTTGTAGAAGAGTACACACCTCGAGGAACAGGCCCGCGTAGCCACATGATCTAAATGTAACGTACCGAGCCGGGGTGTGGTGTCCGTCATCAAGTTATACTTATGTCCCTGTATGAATTTTATGGTAGCTAATATCTGACTATAATGCAGTAGCCAATATATACAAAAATAGTAAGTGTTACTCCCTAGTACCACTACTGCAAAATATAAGCAGAGACATATATAACATAGACGTATATTTATGTATGTCTCTGATATAAGCCTACATCAATTATATACAGTACAACTGAGGATCTCTCTGAAACAATGACAACCATTAACAGTATATAGAAACTAAGTGCGGAGTTACCTTACACATGCACACAAAAGCACAAACGAGACTGATGAGACCTATATCAACTTAGGACATTTACCGCCAATACTGTACACAACACAGCTACCTGCTGTTAATAACAATCACAGTGAACTGTAACAACTACGCAGTCCACGACTACCGTGTCGTGACCACCAATAATATACTGAGAAAGTTATACCTAACACTGGTACAACTAACAGTACTACTCGGGCCATGTCGTGAACACACTATCTTGCCTAATGCCATACAGCTAACGACAACATGTACTCTAGAACTATCTTCTGATGCTACAATCAAAAGGCGAATTTGACAACCCCTTCGTCTACTATTGAGCTCAACCTCCACTTCTTTGCGTCTGGTTGAACGGGTAGTGATGTTATATTATTGTTCATATTATGTTATATTATTGTTCATGTTATATTATTATGTAATACCTCTTCAAATCCCATCCTTTTTCATAAATGCCCTGAAATGTGCCAAAACATTTTATTCACTTTCAGTATTTGTTTTCATATCTTCTATGTAAATGTAATTTTCTTTAAGATGTAGTGCTCTGTTTCATTTATAGTTAATGAAAATTAGATAAAGAAAATTAATTCAGTCTCATTTCCATGGCTTTACATCTCAACCGGAAGGATTACACCTTAAATGGACCCCATTGGAAATAAGCCTATTTTATAGGCTTTATGAGTAATCCAAGGCCAAAGGCATTTTCATCTGGTTTTATCAAATTTCTCTCTTTTTTATTGACATTTCTAAATTTTCAACTATTTTACTTAGAAGATTTGCAAGCACAGTGTAATTTAATTTATGCGATACTAGTTAAAACTGTGATATTTTAAGGTATGTGAAATTCTTCTGTGAGATCTTATATTTTATAATTAATAATTTTAAGAAATCCACAATAATTTATTACTGATTTTAATTGTTATTGAATTGCTTATATAATATTTGTAATGTGTAATTTTATTATGCCTTTGCCTGAATAAACATAATAATTATAATAATAACTACCCCAGCCTTGCTCGCGACCAATGTCGTGAGCAATACCCCGAGCTCTGTAACTAGTCGTAATGTTCAGTATTGACATAGATCAAGGCAAGGCTTACTCAGCCACTTCTGTCTCTCTATGCCAATACCTACCAATAGTGAAGAGTGAGATATTTTACCAATACGACCAACCTTCGAACGAAGAATAATACTCCCAGAGTCTGTCGACCGCTATTTACACTTTGGAGGGAAACAACGACCCCTAGAGGTGATCACAAAAACTAATCACAGAACCGCTTACATATTTCACGAATGATGAAGCGTCTGGCAGACATCAACAATACACATGACACTTGTATCATAACGGCAGGGACTGTAAGGCCTATTTTCGCCACTTAAGTAGGTATTCGTTCGAGCTATACTATGAGAGTTTGACTCCCGGTCGTGGTAGTATGCTAAAGTTTGGAATTAATTTTCAGTGTTTAACAAATTTGAGTGCAATGAAAAACGCGTGCGATCACCTCGAAACAAATTAAATAAAAGTTATGAAAGAAATTTCCAATTAGTCAAATAACCAATCAACTTACTGATATTGTTACACATTTAACACTTCATATCCCACTGCCATGTATGTGGTCGTGAGGGACATTTAACACTTCATATCCCACTCTGATGTACGCAGTCGCGAGGGACATTCATCACTTCATATCCCACTGTCATGTGGTTGATCGAGATGGATATTTAACACTTCGTATCCCAATCTCATGTCTGTGGTCGAGAGGACTATTTAACACTTCATATCCCACTGTCATGTGGGTGATCGAGGAGGACATTTAACACTTCATATCCCACTGTCATGTACGTGGTCGAGAGGGCCATTTAACACTTCATATCCCACTGTCATGTACGTGGTCGCGAGGGACATTTAACACTTCATATCCAACTGTCATGTACGTGGTCGCAAGGGACATTTAACACTTCATATCCCACTGTCATGTGGGTGGTCGAGAGGGACATTTAACACTTCATATCCCACTGTCATGTACGTGGTCGCGAGGGACATTTAACACTTCATATCCCACTGTCATGTGGGTGGTCGTGAGGGACATTTAACACTTCATATCCCACTGTCATGTATGTGGTCGTGAGGGACATTTTACACTTCATATCCCACTGTCATGTACGTGGTCGGGAGGGACATTTAACACTTCATATCCCACTGTCAT